CGGGACATCGTCACCGACTCCGTCCAGTACAATGTGTCAACCACAGACCTCGAAACCAGCCACGTCAGGTGAGTTTGCCAGTTTCTCGCGAGGACACCCGCGGCGACGTTGGAACCTCGCCGCCACACGAATTCCGCTAACTCGTCCGGGGTTCGTTGTGCGTGCACGTCTGTCTGCTGCGTTTCCGGCGACACGTCGGTTCCGGCGTCGTTGCTCCGCGCCAATTTTCAACCGTTTCCATCGCCATCGAAACGTATTCCATTTTTCTTCTGACTTTCGCTTTCGCTTTTCTTTCCTTTTGCTTCTTTCTTCTGCTTTTTTTGTTCTGCGCCAGCTGGATGCACAGGGTGTACTTTCGTTGCTCGGCTAGAACTTTGGAATCGCTACGGAGTTTCGTACGGGAGGTAGCGTCCTCCACGAGTTTGCAGAGATCGATCTGGGATTTTGGTTTCGATACCTAGAGGAGCTCTTTCGTTGGAAGTTGGTCGAAGCGAGAGAAACTGTAACTACGTGGATGTCTGTAGCGTTAATTTCGAATCGACGATGGAACTCGCGAAGTGATTCCGGCTTTCTGGTTTCTTTTCGTGCTAATGAAGAAGGTACTTCGGTTGCTTTAGAAGCGAGCTGCGAGTCACAGGTTTCCGATCGTTGCCACACGTTGCTCCGGCAAAATTTGAGAAACAATTCTCGGAAAGTCTTTTGTTAAAAATCTGTCGGGGCAAGGGAAATTATTATCGTCGTCTATGTAATGTTTTCATTTCGAAAATAATAGAAGTGAGCAAAGCAATTCCAAAAAAATAATATAATAATTAAAAGTTTAATATATTATTAAAAAATATATATTTTCAATAAAATCAATTATTTTATAAATTAATTAAAATAATTAGGCAAACACGTACAACCTCCTAATTAATAAATTAATTAAATTATTAAGAAACTATTATATTAATTGTAAAAAAATTTCGAAAATAATAGAAGTGAGCAAAGCAATTCCAAATTTCTCATGCTTCACTGGTATTTCACTGGCGATTAAATCGCTTCTCAGATTCTCAGCGTACTTTTTTATAATTATAACAGCTGCCTATATAGCGAGAAATATATCGACAAATTCTTTCAATTTGTACGTTTTATTTAACTATATGATTTTTGTAACGCCGTAAATTTATTTTACGATATTTCTTTAGTTACTTTCGCTGCGAAAACGATAGGAACGAAATGACAGATTTATTGAATAGGGAAAATTAGATATTGTATTATGTACGTTTTTCACGTCGGATTTATTTGACAGAAGTTTCGTCCAGAGATTGCGTTTTTTTTTTCGAAGGAAATGGAAAGACTTGCGAACTGTTCTCGCGCCAGGGAGCTTTTTTTTTTTAACCCGCTGTTAAACGACGTATATAACGTGGCTTAACGATCTAATAATAATACGTTGTTCCATATCAAAGGAATTGATTTTAGGGAAACGATAATAACGTGTTTATGAAGTAATCATGCAGAATATCTACATGATTATAATTATTCGGACATTAATTGTCATAGAGCTATGGAATATCTCGCGAAAGCGTTGGTCGATGGTTCAAGCGTTAAAAATATATGTTTGCAACTTTTAATGTATTTTGTATTTCCTACCGCAGCACGCGCAATTTTTCATAACTTGTCTTTAAGTTCGTAAAAGCGTTTTTAATTATTGCACAAAATCCCAGAGTTACGGAGTTTCATGTGAAATTTAATTCGTCAATTTGATTAATTAAGAGTTTCGACTGATTCATCCGATCGGACATTTAAAACTGGCGGTAGATTTAGCTGCTGGTCGAATTGTTCGAGACGAAATTGATAGTAGCAATAGCGTTCGCAATTTCCTCCATTGCGATCTTAAAATTGGACAAAAGATTAGCAATCATTTGCTGATTACTATAAATTCTCAAATACATTCGCAGAAATAAGTTCTCGTAGCTGATACTTCGAATGATAGTTCGTTTTTGAACAGCGCGTTAACGTAAATTAATGGTCACACGATTATTACGTAGCTTAAATATTATAGTAACGTCGCATAATCTTCCGCTTTATCAAATTTTCCACACGCCTGCCGCGAGAACGTCCTCAACGAGGACGACTGGAAATATCTCGATTTTCCTGTATTTTCTTCGCTTAACGACTTCCCTCTCGACGGAGAAATACAAATACCAGTTATTTTCAAAATTGATAGAATCGATAGAAACGTAAGACAACGGTCACTGAATTTGGGGAATTTTTCAAAAAATTAAACCATCGAAAAATATAAATTTTCCGTGAAATTGATAAATTCGAGAATAGATAAAAATTCGGTAAAAGTTGGTTTGTCCGAACCAGTTTTTGTTCACTGTCAGTTAGGCGAACTCGTAACCGGGTAACTTTATTATCCGAAATATTTTCTCCCCTATCGGATAGAGCAACTTGTATCGTGAAAGCGCGATAGACAAAAAATGATGGAAACTTATTCTCAATAAATGGAATTGTTCGAGCTTGCACGCTTCTAATCAGAGTTTGTACCAATATAGCAACTGAGAGAATATGTACATTTTCGACTGGTTTTACATTTACAACTGTTATATTGTAGATGTTATCTATAAATTAAAAATCTTCAATTTTGTTATACGTAAGCGAATAATTAACGTTTATTTGTTGCATAAACTTGAAACGCAACTCTGGTTCCGATATGAAAAACACAAGAAATTTCAGCAACAAAGGAATGATCATTCGTTGACCAGTTGGCTGTTTCTGACGAGTATATTCGTCGCGCGTAAAAGTAGTTACAAATTGCAGCATAGTAAACTGCGATAAGTTTGAGTGATAAAATTAAGAAATAAAACGATCGTTTCGTTACAACTTAATCGTACACACACACTCTGTGTTGCACGAGTATACTCGTCATCGCTTGCACGCTTCTAATCAGAGTTTGTACCAATATAGCAACTGAGAGAATATGTACATTTTCGACTGGTTTTACATTTACAACTGTTATATTGTAGATGTTATCTATAAATTAAAAATCTTCAATTTTGTTATACATAAGCGAATAATTAACGTTTGTTTGTTGCATAAACTTGAAACGCAACTCTGGTTCCGATATGAAAAACGCAAGCAATTTCAGCAACAAAGGAATGATCATTCGTTGACCAGTTGGCTGTTTCTGACGAGTATATTCGTCGCGCGTAAAAGTAGTTACAAATTGCAACATAGTAAACTGCGATAAATTTGAGTGATAAAATTAAGAAATAAAACGGTCGTTTCTTTACAACTTAATTGTACATACACTCTGTGTTGCACGAGTATACTCGTCATCGCTTGCACGCATTTACTAGCCACACGTTTTAGCTACACGCTTTCCAAACAGATCGCAACTGGTCAGGTCGTTCATTCTGAATTTTTCATTACGTTCCATTATCATACTCGATATCATATTTGAAACGATATCACGTAAACGTTAAAGATGATGGGATATTCCGAGTATTCAGACGACAGATACTCATAATTACTCGTTTCGAACGTTGCAGTAGCGTTGTGACGCAGAGATCGAGCACCGTGACGACCCAAACAACGACCACGGAGATGACGGACCCACCTCCACCGCCTCCACCGCCCATCTACCCTCCGATGCCGACGCCGCCGAAGAACAACAACAACAACAAGAGGATAACGTCCGAGGCGGCAGAGAACGCGGCGCTGATAATCGGCATCATAGCCGCCGCATTGATCGCCATCGTGCTCATCATTCTCATCATCCTCAAGTTCAAGAATCGTCCAGAGACCAGCTACAAAGTGGACGAGACGAAGACCTTCTGTCAGGACCCGAACGCTGCGCTGCTCGGCGCTGCTGGCTCCGGCCAGCCGTTCAACGGGCCCATGAAGAACGGCGCAAATGGCAGCAAAGCGAACAAGAAACGGGAACTGATAGACATCAAAGAGTGGTACGTGTAGAGACGGCCAGTCTTCGAGATTCACGCGTCCGCGTGAGTGGCGCACGTGCTCTTGAAAACCTCGTGGCCAGGTGAACACGCGAGTCCAAGAACTTGACGAGGAACGTGTGACAGCCTCTTCTTAGGTCCTTCGTTGGTGCTAGGCGAACTATTTAGCTATTAGTTTTTCGACGCGTTTCTCCACGAACGATAGAACGGGCTGTGTTCCTCGCGGATAAACGCGGCGAACGAGAGAGGAGACTGCGCCCGAGACGAGTCGTCTCGAGCGATCTTCGCAGACGTCGTGATGCGATCGTTGCTCCGCCGGCACACGACCAGCCAGCCAGCCGTCCGATGACCGTGCGTCATCGCGCTGGCAAGATCTCCTCCGTGTCTCAGGCGCCGGTCAACTTTAGATGAATCAGCGTTATAAGCATATCCAATGTTATATCGATGGAGGTCGAGCCTGGTCGACGCTGTGCGCGACGATCCTGTCGGCGGAGGCTGCGCGCGTCCAGGATGGAAGACAACGAGCGGTTCGAAGCTCGCGGCGCTGATCGGCGTAACGACGGCACGAGACCGATCGCGTCGAGCGGAAAGGCAGAGGAAGAGCAACAGACGGATGAAGAAGAAACGCAGACGCGAAAGAGAGAAGAAGGGAAAGGGATAGAGGCACGAAAGGTGCGTTGCGGAAGGATGTATCGAGTGGTTGTGCCGATCGAAAACGTGTCCGAGCGGCGACGGACGCGGAGCATGGCGTTGTTACTCTTCGTCAGAGCGACGCTCGGCTTTAGTTGCAGCACTTTGTCGACGTGGAGCACGCGACTCGAAGCGTCGAGTCCTCGAAATACGAGCGCGCCACTTGCCCGAAAAAGGAAAAGAAATTGAAAGGGAGAGACGAATATTCTCGCGCAGGCTCGTAAAATCAAACTTCTTCCTCGTTGCTAGACACGTTGTTAGTTGTATATTCGTTGTACATGGACAGGTTCGTCGCGCATTAACGATAGCATTCAGATGATCCTCCTTTAGGCGAAGCGTTCGAGAGGAGAAACGATCGTTCGAGGAGACGTAAATTGCGCGCGCCACGTATTTCGAGGATCGGCAAAGACCAGCAGAGGGAGAGCAAAATTCGCTTTCGTTCGGACGTTGCCATAGTCCATGAAGCGCGAGCGCAAAGCGACGAGAAAGTGTTGGAATTAACGCGCAAGAACGAAAGTATCAATACGAACGATCCTATCTAGCGATTAATGAACTTATTGTTGTATAGAAGAAAGCAAAAAAAAAATATATATATATATATACATACACGATATTTATCGATTATGTTATGCGTGTAAATTGTTTATTAAATTATAGATTTTATTAACACAACAATGGAAGAGAGCGTGCGGATACGTGTTACACGGTGTGCATGATGGAAACGGTATGAAAGGGATGAGAGATAGTCCGCGTTGTTTTGTTTGAATATAAAGAAGCGACTCGAAGTAACGTCGGTGTATTAGCCGTAAATTTAACGCGTTCTTGCGGGACGCGGACACTGTAAGCTGTAAGTGATCGCGCGCGGAAACGCTCGGAGGACACTGTCGAAATAGTAAATGACACGTAGCCATGCGCAGATCGATGCTTATACGTATACACAGGGTGTGAACGCAGTATTGCCAAAAAAAAAAAAGAAAAAGACAAAAAAACGAATCAAGCTTGACCGGTGTTTAACCCTTTGATGTCCGAAATCGCCAGCGCGCGTTCCTTCCTCGTGCCGCTTCATCTCGATACTTGCGCGGTATAGTCTTTTTATACTCCTCGTGGAAGACTATCGTTGTTTCCTTTGCAGAGAATGATCAGTCTTGTATCCTCTTGCTTGCGACGCCGCGATGCTTCCTTTCGTTTCGCGTCTCTGTCGGATAGCCTGTCGGATATCCCGCCGCATACCTTGCGAAATGAAAACTGTCAGGCGAAATTTCGCTGCACGTACATCCTCGAACAAAGGGCTGCAAAGGGTTAATTATACTGGCGCGTCGCACGAACTCCGTTTCGTGGATATTCGAGGCCGTTTCAATCCACATCTATCCGCCTCTCTGGAAACTCTCCGCGGGCTTCTCCTCCGGCTTCCAGCCGACAGCGGCATCTCTTCTTACGATGCACCTTGCCATCCGAAAGCGTAGCTTGCCTGTTGCGCGACCAAAGTATAATTATCGGCGAAATACTCTATATTTTCGTACCACGCTGCTTGGTGTTCCCGGCTTTCTAACGGGCGTCTGGTCGAGACTGGTGTTCGTATTGCAACTACGTGTACATAGAAATTACTGTTCTACTGTGTGTCGAATCGATAATAAACTTAAGACGGATATCCTACAGACCATCGATGCTTTAATTTCCGCACGATGTACGTTTCAAAGCGCTATTTTCATTTGTTATTCGCTTATTTCATTCGCCGGTGAATGTTCGTCGTTACCCGCGGCATACTCTTTCGCCTAATTTCGAAACCGACCGGAGCACATTGTCACGTGAAAACGGCACCAGTCTGGACTAGCTGACGATCCAGTTGGTTCGTAGCGCGCGTTTCAACGCCCTCGTCGACCAACCTAAGCCAAATTGCTACTCGTTGCCGTAATCCGGTCGTCTCTATCGCCGCGAAGCTGCTGAATTAACTAAACTCCCGCTGGGATTTCCTTAAGCGAAAGCGCTCGTCCAAATGTCCCGCAGTCGGCTAAAGGACGTCTCTCGATAGAGCGTGTCGTCCGGAAAAGAAGGAAGAATCGTAGAATCGGTGGATGGATTCGCGGATAAGCAATAATGAAACGTGATACTGACAAGAAGGGGGGAATATGTAAGTTCGATTAATTTAAGATCGTTCGATACGTACTCGCTTGCAAACGCCATTGCCATTGATTTTCCCAACTGTGGGCGTGCGTCGTCCCACAGCGATCGACCATTCGTCGAAACGGCAAGTGCCAGTGTGTGTGACTCGTGAATGAAGGAAAGAGCGAGAGAAAGAGAGAGAGAGAGAGAGAGAGAGAATGTGAAGATGACGCTCAGACCAGGAGGTCGAGAGGAGGAAACGTTCTCGTTTCGGCCAGGAAACTGGCTAAGAACGACGATACGAAGAAAACGTCCGATCGTTAAAAGGCTTCTAAGTTGTGCAATTATTGTAAAATGTTCATTACGTACGTCAAGAACTCGCCACTTGATCCACGCACGGCGTGCCTCGAACATCGTGCGACGTCCAAAAGCGAGGAAATTTAAAAAACAGTTTGGAAGAAGAAACAAAAAGAAAAAGAGAAGAATAGGAATCTTCTCAGCCTCTTCGTTACCTCCTCTCACTCTCTCACTCTCTCTCTCTCTCTTCCACGAAATGCAACGATTATTTCAATCGCTAAGTGTTCCCAGCCTCGAAGAGATTGCACGGTGGCTAAATGTTGGAGGAACGCCGGCAACTTTGTTCTCCGTTCGCTACTCGACCTCGCACCGCTCTGTCGAACGACTCGCGGAGAAAGTTGCTGGAGGATTTTCTTATCGGATTTATCGTACCTGTTCTTGTTGATTCCACGGCGTGCGACTCTCGCTAACGAGTGCGCTCATTAGTCTCGTTATCGTTGAACGCGCCTCGATGCGCGCCCCTACGACCCCGCGAAACTTCGTTCTCGTTATACTTCGACTATCGCTTCGATCGCCAACGATAAACGCGCTGTTATCGCGTCGCAGGTGAAACGCAGGCTACCGTTTTCCAGTATCCTGGCCGCTGACACGCTCTCCTTTTCTATTCGCGTTCCACCTGCGATTTTTACTCCATCGATCGTCCAATTTCTCTGCTTTTATCATACAATTTGTCTGCATCGTCGCGGCTTTTTTATTCGAATTCTCGCCTCTTATCGTTCGCCACGAAGCCTTCGAACGTTTTCCACGCAAGGAACTACTGCGCCAACTAACTTCTACAATTAGCGATCCGACGTCTACGACGAAAGTCTAAGATCGAAGCAGAGTGCAAGATATCACGCGGATGTTTCTTTCTCGCGCGAGCGACTCGACCAGCGTCCTCGAACAGGACGACGGTAGCGGAAACTTGGTGAGGCGTCACCTTCGATAACGTCGGAGTACAGGCTCTCAGGGAAGCACGATTAACGCGTTTTAATTAGAAGAAACTCCGAAGCCGAACCGAACCGACCAACGCATATCAGAACGAAAGGCTCTTCGACCGATCCGATCGGCCGTTTCGTACGAATCGAAAGTATGGCGGAGGCGAGTCACGGTATTTCTCGCGGTTTATCGCTTTCTCTCTTTTCTCTTTACGAAAAGCAAGAACTGGCCGATCGTGCGGTAACCGAAAAAGAAACGACCGCTCGCGCGCAGAAGTATTGCTAGGCACGCGACCGAGACTTCTTTTTAAACTCCCCCCCCCC